AGTCTGTGAGCTTCACTGGATTAACAGATTGTTCATGTTAATCCATCTGAACCAGGATTAAAGCTTCACTTTACTGGTTACAGATGAATGTCATGTGGAGTTAGTGTGAAGCATCTGATTTACTGTTGGCTGGTTTCATCTGTGAAATCACATCATATGAAATTATTTCAATGTGTTTTTTTCATCTAAAGAACCAAAACCTGCCAGACTTTATCTGACAGAATCTAAATAAGACGAAAATTACCTCAATCATAAAGATGATCTTTGGAGCTCTGGACTCTGTCATGATTGCTAGTTTAGCTTAGCTTAGTTTAGGGTTTTGAGTTGCCTCGTAATTTTGTCTTTCAGTGTTTTCTGTTTGGTTTCTTGCTGTTCCTTTTCTGTAAGTTTTTTTTAAATTATTATCTTGATTTACAATTTTATTTTCTTTATTGTTTTGAGTGAGTTCTATTTTAGGAAATATTGAGTGTTTCTTCCTTTATGATTCTTGTAGGACTGAGTTTTAGTTTTTCTACACGTGTTTGGGTTTCAGTTTAATTGAAACCTGTTTTTTATTTTGTGTGTCTTTAATTTCTGATATGATTTATCAGGAGTCTCTTCTTTGTTTTATTTATTTATGTCCATTTCTGAAGCATTTGTGTCACAATTTTGTCATTGAAGTGCTTCAATGGAACGTTTGTGTTCATTAGTGCACTCAAGTGTACTGAGATTGCATCCTTTGGATTTCTGTAGGCTTTACCAGTCCATAGGATTCAAACAGTACAATTATGAGAAAGTTCTCTTTGGTCTGCATTTCTGTCATTCCTGCTCATGCTGCAGAAGTCACTGAAGTTATTGTTGTAGTACTTCAGTATTTAGCTAGCTCTACTGGAGACTAACTTTAACTGACAGATTTCACACTCAAATGACATTTGTCAGTCCAATAAATGACGATAGGCAATATATTTGTGTAGGTAACTTTTTGATGGGCGGAGCAAAGTAATCATGCACGGACTGATTTGCATGTTTAGAATTTATACGCTTCTTTTAAGGGACTATTTTACCTTCTTTTCTTATTTGTTTCAGTATTAGTACACTTTTTGGATTATTCATTTATTTATTTATTTGAGATGTGCCAAATTGCACAAAAGACGTTACATCTGGGATCTTTTTTTAGTGTTCGCTAGGAGAGACATTTTGATTTTTAATGTACTTTTTGTGTAATTTTGTTTTTTTGGTCAAGTATGTATGACAGTTATAGTGGAAAAGAACAAGTTTCTCTTTGTTTCCCTCCCCACCATTGTGTTTTTTGTTTGTTTTTGTTTTTTTAAATTTAAATAAAATGTTTTTGTTTTTTCTGAACATGAGCTAAGTTTGAGTAAATGAATCGCTGCATTTGGACGCACACTGAGGAGGGTGCTGTTAAAACAACGCTATTATTTTTTTCCACTGACTGCTTCTTTTAGCTTTAACAAACATTATTAGCAAACTTACTCATGAGCAAATAAATAAACAAATCGCTCTTTTAAAAATGATCGGTGAAATGCTCAGCCTATTGTCGATAGTCGATAAATCCGTCTAATTGCCCAACCTTTAAGTTTACCTTTAAGTTTACTTTCTCAACAATTTCATACCTAATCTTGCATTTCTTTCTTTCTTACTAGTTAATAACAGGCGGCTTAATATCTTTGGATGGAACACTCTATCAGATAACTAATGACTCACTAAAAATTATCTTCTCTCTGTAGATTGTATACTCCCATGGATGTGCGTCATCATGTGGCGTCCGCTAGGGTTTGACAAGAAGCGTCAGCTAGCTAGCTAGGCTACGGAAATGTCGCACCGAACATTTACTTCGTTCTGCTTGATTTTCCTGTTTGTTGACCTCTTCATGTTTGTCTCGACAGGTAAGATTTAACTATGAGAAACCAAATTCATTTTCACTTTGAAATAAAAAGTGAGATGGAGTATGAATCATTTTATGTAACCCGGTAACGAGTTACAGTACGGCATTCAGCTTTCAGATTCCACCTGGAAAAATCCCCAATAATCCTGAATTTACCATCCAAGATGGCAGCAGTGCCTGTAAACATTAGCAAAAGTTTAAAATTAAAAATCTTGTTACGATTATTTAACCTCAGAGGTCTGATGGAGGTCATACTGCGACGTCTCTCCTGAGCTAACTTCCTTCCAGCACAATTGGTCAGAAAAGAAAGGAAAACACTATTTATGTTGCTAGTAGCTAAGTAGAGTCCATGGATGGACACCAACGACCTGTTACATCCTGGAGGCCCACCGATTTGTTATTCTGCTGATTATCCATCTGTGACTAGCCATATAGCACAATGCTAACACAATACCACAAAACTGAACATAAATGATATGTTTGATACAAGTTTTAGTTTTTATACTGTTTGTGTGCACTGCTGCCATGTTGGACTGTAAAGTCGAGGTTGGAGAACTTTCTCAGACTTTGTGAATTTAAAGTACAAAATAAGGCTGTTCTATTTGAAAGTAATTTTGACTAAGAAGCAGGAATTTCTGACTTCCCATTTCAGATGGAAGAGGCTACTGATCCGTACTGCTACTATTTTATATTTGCGAGTTGTTAAATACAGTGCAAAGGGGCTCCTGTGCTGCAGAGTTCAGCATACCGAGGGTATCTTTTAAATATTATATTTTAGTTTACCTCTGAACTAGGATTCTAATGCGTGACCAATTTGGTCGCACATGTCTAAAGTCTCAAATCGCCGCAACTCTGAAAGTCTCCGTGTGGTCAACACCAAACACACATTTTGCCCATATCGTGGTCTAAACTAATAAGACATAGTCAGGACCGGGACCTCCTTGATTGGCTGTGGTCCAGATATTCCTGTCGGCCTACGTTTATGTACGTTTGAAAGTGCAGACAGGTAGCAGGGGTGGGTTTCAATATTCAATTTTCCGATTTAAATGGATTTTAGCTTGAATATCGATTCATTAAATCCTGAATCGATTTTTAAATATAAATGAATTTTGCCAGAAAGAGCTCACAAACCATTTTAGCAACCACCATATAATTAAAACAGCAAATGAGATTTTTTTTTGCAAATCCTGGTGCACGTACAGCAGCACCAGGTTGCAAACCACGAGACGGAGTTTCTATGCGAAAAATAAAATTTTTTATACTTTATTTTCTCTTGCATAAAGTTAAGAGCATGTATAGTGAGAAGACAACACTACTATATTTGCCACAGGCTATTTAACCCTTTAAGACCTACCATAGAACCAAAGTGTTCTCTGCCAAAGCACTTTAAGCACAATCACTTTTTCAGTAACGTATCTTTCTTGTAGAACTGTGCTCCAAATAAAGAACTTTGTGTTGACAAGATTGTTAGTTAATCATTTACAAATCAATATTGTCTGTATGGACAGCAATTTCCGCCCAAAACAGTGAAATGTAAAACTGCGGTGTTAAGCGATGCAGTTGCACCTAAATTGGGTGCACCTAACTTTTGTGCTGGTGCGCATTTAAGAAAAGGAAAAAAAAGCATACCAGTGCAACTGTGGCAAAAGTTGCCCTGCTCTGATTAGAGGCAGCTGTTGCAGCAAAGCAGTGGCATCTGGAGGTGCCACTCTAATACTGCTTTTATGCTTCAGTGCAGTAATATGAAGGCAGACGGACGGCTCATCTACCTGCACAGTGTTTGATGTTGATGGAGGCAGTGTATGTGGTACAACCGGTCTGTGGGCAAATCTTCCTTGTGCTGTTTGTTGATCTTCAGCCAATTGGAGAGAAGAGTAAAGTTATAACACACAAAGAGCTGAAGTCAAAGCCATTGTTACAACAATGAGTGTTCACTGCAGCCACTCTGTGCTTTCCATGCTGTTTTTTTTATATCTCTAATTTTTTGCACTTCACCTGTTCCTGATGAACTCTAGTGTAGCCCCACAGGTCATTCTGATCCACTGACATGCAGTTGGGATTTTGAAGAACTACACAGGAGCATGTTTCCATCCTTATCCATTTTCTCTCCAAACAGACAAACGTGTACATTTGTGGGACCAGAAGTTAAACTTAGAATTAAGTTTCACACAGCAGCAGCAACCAGCTGCCACAGCCACAGTCTGAGCTGCTCCTCCTGCTTTTCTAGCTCTGCCTGTTCCTATGGCAGAATCTGTATGGCAGTCATTTTGAAGCCTCTTTGGGCTGCTTTTACCTTTGTTGTGCACTGTGTGTTAAAGCCCAAACACTAAAAGATAGATGTGGTGGGACTGTAGCTTAAAGTTTCTTCTTCACCAGTAAACTGAGATCTCAGACCATGTTATGGAGTAATGCAGTAATGTAATTTAACTACAACTGTAACTAATTACAGTTTTCAGCAAGTAATAAAAAAATGCAAAAAAGAAGATGTAAAAAATAACTATTTTTAATAATATCCCCAATGCTTCTGTGAAGGTGACACAAGGCTGGGTGGAGTCTGTGTGCACCTAACATGTTGGTGTGATCAGATCTCACAGTGACAAAGAAGTGTAATGTGTGTGTCAGTGTGATGTGTTGTAGTTTCAGGAGTCAGTATACCACCAAGCGCGGATCTACAGAGGTGGTATGGAGTGGCATGTGGCACCCTATAAGGATTTCTTGCCACACCTAGCACCATTGTAGTTTTGTAGATGACAAAAAAAGCATTGGCTACATTTTAAGTCATATTACACAATGTAAAAGCTGCATATGTGTAAAGAGATTACTTTGATTTTGCCAGCTCATTTGATTTCCATGCCACCCTAAGAAGCTTCCTGGTTAAGAAGATTTCATTACATACAGCCCTGTGTACAGATACAAAGCTTTTTGTTCAGTGTATACAAACAGCTGTAGCTCCATAAAGGCAGCAGAGACTCACAGTGTCTTATAATGAGAGGCTGCTTTCTCTCACACATTATGTTCACTTATTATCAGTGTGTGTGTTACTCCTCACGCTGTTGAAGTGAACAGTTGTACTTTGACCTTTAGCCTCTCTGCTCTGTGTTGTTTCTTCTTACAGACCAGAAAACCATCACAGCTGAGTCTGGACAGAAGAACGTCACTCTGACATGTCGAGCTCCAAACAACAACATCATAAGTGTAGAGTGGAGCAGAGATGACCTGGGAGATGAATATGTGCTTTTGTACCGGAATAATAAGATGGATCCAGAAAACCAGCATCCATCTTTTGAGAACCGGGTGAATCTGCAGGACACAAAGATGAAGGATGGAGACGTGTCTTTGATTCTGAACAATGTGACGATTAATGATACTGGAACATACAAGTGTGGTGTCATCCAAGAAGAGAGAGGAGGTTTGAAGCTCATCAACACCACCTATGTTCATGTTGTTCCTCCAGGTGAGTGAGTAGAGTTGAGTGTGTGTGTGATCAGAGGTGAAGCTGCTTCCTGGTTGTTGATGTTTGTTTGTAAAGATGTTGTTGATGAGACTTTGTAGAAAGCAGCTGGTCTGAGTGATGTGATCAGAGTGCAGTAGATAATGTCTGACAGCAGTTTGAAGAGGAAATGGATTCTGTTCTGTTCTTCACTCATCACCTACCTGACAGCTGACACCTCACACCTGTTTCTCACCTGCAGGTCAGCTGGGAGGAGACACAGAGGATGGAGGGAAGGAGGATGGAGGGAAGGAGGATGGATATGTTGGACTGAAAGTTGGTCTGCCAGTTGTTGTTGTTGTTGTTGTTGTTGCTGTTGTTGTTTTAGTTTTATGGTCTGTGAAATGCAGAAACCATACAAAAGGACAAAGTCCATCTCCGTAGAACAGACCTCTTAACAGCTGAAAGCCCGGGTGCCAGGCTGATGTTCCTACTTCTCAGCGTCATCATTGATCTCAGAGGAGTGGAATGATCTCATCATCCAACAGACAGACGTCAGACATGCAGAATTTAGTTTGATTTGTAAATTTCTCTGAATATCATCAGACCTGTTCAGACTATATTGGTGTGTCTCTGTGCAAACACCACAATGTTTGCTCATCTTCAGTGTTGAATGGAGAAAATGTGCTTTAAATCAACTCATTTATTCAGTGTACTGCATGATATGGTATCCGAAAGTGTATTTGTTGTAGCCTCAGGTTGGTCACTCATTTCATTTCAACAGTTTACATTCTTTAAAAATATCTGTTACATTTCTGCCTTAACCTCCTAAGAAGCTCTTTCATGGCTTGCATTTTTAATTTCTCTTTGATAATTGGGCATATTGGGACCTGATGAATGTAAAAACAAATAATTGCCAGATTTATTTTTTTTAATTTTTTTTAACCTGATTTTTGTTTCTGAAAGAAATGAGATCCACATTCGTTTTACATTTCGATAGAGCAGTGGCAGTATAATGTCCTTGTGCTTGTAGAGCATTTTGTATTTTGGTCTAGACAACCCAAAATGTGGTGTCCACATATGTGGATGCCAGGTTCTAGGAGGTTTATGTACGTGGAACAGCCAAGACTTCAGATTTTAGACAAGAAAAAGAAATAATGAAATAAGATTTTTGAAAAGGCAAAAATTATTTCAGTGGTACTCTACACAAAATAATGTGTTTTATTTCATGCAAAATGTACCTGTTATAATGAACAGCTTTGGTTATAGTTTGTTTCCTATCAGGTTCAGCAGATGTTTGTTAGATCAAAATTGTTCTGTGAGGTTTGAACCAGCTGTTACAGTATAATTAATGACCAACTGAAAGCACAAACACTGTAGGTGTTGATCAGTGAGTGCAGATAAATTATTGTGTATTATAGACAATCATTAATCTCATCAGGAGCTATTTATTGGATTGAATGACTGAATGCTATTACACTGATATTAAACCAAAGAAATCCATTTATCTATGTAGCTGCAGAGTCGGATGTTCCTCCAGCTGACCTGTAAAGCTTTGTTTCACTTTTCCTTCCATGAAGGACTTTTCAGTCTGTTTGTTACTTCAGTTTAAGTAAAGTCTGTTCATATAATGAATATGTTTATTATTGAAGTTTTACATGCATTGCTGCCTGTTTATTTTCTTTCTTTGTTCATTTGTTTTCTTTTTGTTTCTGTATAAAACTAAATATGTGTTTAACTGCTTTGAAGAAAAATACTCTGTATACTGTGATGACTCCACATGCATTTAAATAAACGTCAACAAATTCCAATCGAGTACATTTACTTTATTATTCTCATACTTTAAGTCTTGTCTCTAAATGCTGCTTTTTTTTGTGAGCTTAGACCCAAACCTGTTTCTATGCAGAGGGGCATGCACTGATCACTTTTACCACAGTCACAACTATAACAGAGCAATCAAATGTTAGACTGAATTTATGAGCAAATCATAAGCACAATTGTCTCACCTTGATCTCTGGTGTCTCATCATCTCCACCATTAATTCATGCCTAAAGATAATCTTCTGTAGCTACCATTTGTCTTTACATTAGACATCAAAAGCTGTAAAACCTATGAAGATAAAATTAAAAGTACAAAATCTATGACTCTTGACTCTATGACACTGTCCAATGAGCTGGATTGGAGTCTGCTGAGCTGATTCTGGAACCCCTTGACATCCAAATAGACTTTATCTATTGCTGCTATAATGGGATTTTTGCTTGTGCAGCAGTTCTCATTAACAGTGTTTTCAAAATGATTAATTAAAGGAACTGCAGTTTGTGGTGTGCGTGTCAAAATAATCTCATTGTGCATATTTTTGCATGAAATTAAAAGTGAGTTACCCGCCATTGTCTGTGAACCAATAGAAAGCTGGTGCTCAGAGGAAGAGGGCGGGCTTTACTTGGTGTCAGTGAGAGAAATGAAAAAAAGCTCAAATGAGTGAGAAGGACGATGAAGGAAACATCTGTGCTGTGTCTGCTCTGTAAGTAGAATCTCTGTGTTTGTTTGAATTCTTGTACTTTGA